TTGGGGGATGGGGGAGTGGGCAGGGCCATTGAGCTGGCCGTGTGTTTCAGCACCAGGGCGAGGGCCAACTGTAGAGATGCTCTGGTAGCCAGAGTGTCTCCATGGAGGACCCAGCCTCCGGTTGCCTCAGGGCACGGCCTGGGACTGTGCGCTGCCCCGCTTTTTAAAACTTTGTTTTTTTTAGACCCCTGCAAATCCAGGGGTCTAATTTTCTCCCCGCACTGCAAGTTTGCATCTCAGGGAACATTTTTTCATTCCCACATGTGCCTCTTGACCCGCCTCAAATGGGTTTGAGGCGGGGCAAGAGGTACGTGCGCGTTCGTCTGGACGTGCCCAAAGGGGTCAAAGCTGTTATATTCCACACGTTGCTTTTGATATTGCCTCAATTCTTGATAAGTGGTGCACTTTCTATTCTTTTCTAGTGGTGCCATAGCTACGTGTAGTAGGTGATTGTACTAGTTACTTACTGCATGTACATACTAGCAGACTGTATTCTAAGAGAACAGACTAATCTTTGTAAAGCATATTTAATTTCCTAAAGAAGCCAAAGTCCTACAACTTTAAAATGCATGCCTACATTTTATTGTAATAATTTGATAAATTCATATTGATTTATACCTAGACTGATTTCTTCAAGGTATCATGACATAAGTCTCATTACTATGTCTTATGCATTGGTGAAATGGGCAGGTGTTTATAGACCACTTCATAATAGACAGACGTGTAAGTACAGATGTTAAGAAAATTAACTTACTTGAAGAAATTACTGCCAGGTCAGATGATCAGAGGCCATATTTCTGGCTCTGCCATTGACCTACGATGTGGCTTCTGGCATATGACTTCTCTTTTTTGCACCTTCATTTCCATTCTCCTCCTTTGTCTTGTTTCTTGCAAAAGCTCTGGAAGAGACATTATTATTTTTATCATGAATTTGTATAGCACCTGGCGCACAGTCTCCAAATTAAATTAAATGCTTGAGTTTTACTATACCATTAGTAACACTTTTGTAATTAGATATCGGGCCTCTGGACCTGGAGTCAGATAGCTACTGGTCCTCCACTTCTTTAGTTTTCAGCAGATAATTTAACGTCCATTTCACAGAGATGGATAAATCCTTAAAGCATTTATCTGTCTCCTGAGGCTGGACATTGGAAGTGGAGATAAAATAGGAGAGGGTCAGAATTACTTCTGATCTTGAATTTGCCAAATTTTAGAAATCCATAATAGATTAGTATAACCTGTGATCTTAGATACTAGTCTACTCCATGATCAATTGAAATGCTTTGCTAGTAAGGTCTCTTGTTTGCTCTGGACAGGACCAAATAATTATACTGAAAGCATCTTATTGATTGCTTTTGACAGAAAGCATCCTATAGTGCTTATCACTCACCATTAAGCCAATATCTTTGCTCCATCAGTACAAGGACAACCTTGCCTTCTAATGTGCAGGAAATGTGGCATTGCAACTGAAGCATGTAGTTTCTCATTTTTGTAGGTTAAATAATGGAGAGATTAATTTAGCCTCCCTGAAGAACTGAGAATGCTCTCAGAAGAGAAGTCTAGTAAATCAAATTGATGGATGACTGCTCTGAGCCATACTTTTTAGAGTTCAGATTGTACATGAGCATTTCCTGGCTCTTCCACATGGGCCTCTCTCTCTCTTTATTTTCCCTTCCTTTTTACAAATTGCATTTTCCTAGCAGGGCAAACCAAACTAACATGATGATAAAGGTGGCTGCATGGAAGCTTTTGAATAAGAAGGATTGTTTCTGCTTTAAAATCACAAAACCAATTGTTATAACTCAATTAGGGCTCAGTATTTTTAGAGAAGAGCCTAAACAGACAAAACAACTGGCATCCCAAGATTAGGATTAAAACAAACTTTTAGAGATGGCAACAGCTAATTACCTGAGCTAACATTAATAAAAACAAAAGCCTCCAGTTTGAAGCTAATAGATTTGGATTGACATTTTTTATGGTCATTACATGTTTAACTTCCTTCAGTGACTGTAATTCTCAGCAACATTTTCTCACCCAAAAAGTGAAGTCCAATTTCTGGATGTTAGTCACGTACCACTGTAATACTTTACAAACCTCTTTACACATGAGAAGTTTATGAAGACTAGTTGCATATGTATCTTCAGAATCAGAGTATAAATAAAAGCTTTTATTCTGCCTAAAATGTTAAATCAGCCCTCACTTCCCTAAGAAAATATTGCCAAAGACTGATAACACAATTCACTAATTTGTCCAATTCTTTCAGTTATATATTACTATTATATTACTAGCATATTGTTTTTTTAAAGTCTTATTTGCAACTGATGTGGGAAACGCCTTGAATAGAAAAAAACTTTGCTTCTATATAGTATCTTTCATTCAAGGATTTCAAAGGGTTTTGTAGTAATAATAATAATAATAATAATAATAATGGAATACAGGCATTATTAGGCCCCTCTCCAAATGGGGATATTAAGAGGTAGAGTCAGATGATCCAGACAATTGTAGTGCCTACACAATGCAATCCTGGTTCAAAGCCTCTTCAGTGTCATGGTATTGCAAACAACATACAATTTCCCCAAGATCAAAGAGTCAGTGGAACAGACAGGAATAGATCCCAGGATTCCTGAAACCTATCCCCCATCTCCTACAACTAGACAGGTATAATTTGCCAAAACTGAATTTATTATCTAAGCCCATTATCCTGCTGGTGTGAAGTGTTGGAGGGGAGACTATGGCTAGGTACAGACATTCAAAAGCCCAAGGCAGAATCGATTCGAGTTGCATGGTTTTCTGTAAGTGGTGTAGTTTAGATTGGTAGTGAACAGAACACACATTTGCCCTGGGGAGGGGAAAGGGGGGGAAGGGAGCAAATCTTATATTGGGTTCCTCCATTTCTAAACCAGCCTGTGTGCCGAACTTCTGTTCTGTTATGGGTATAGACCGGTTTCCAATCACTTATAGTGGTAAAAGTGTAATGTCTGGACCTGGCCAATTTAAGTGTGCTCTTTTCCTTGCTAGATTGAACCCTTCTTTATAGGCAAAAATTAACTTTAGTATTACTTCATTACAGTATGGAGACTGAGATCATATGAGACCAAGCAAGGTGAAGTCATCAAGAGGAAAAAGGGACAATTCCATTTAAATTCCCACCAAAATGAGATGTCAGTACTTGGAATTGCTAAGGATGTTTGCCCTTGTACTAGTGATTCTTTCATTGAATTGTCACTACTTGTTGCTTGTTTCTGACAGCCATTCTGGACTTGGAAACTGAGCCTGAAAGCCTATTAACACTGTCTATTGATCTGCAACAACTGGATGGACACGAATGGACTCTTCAAGACAGGGGTATCTATGCAATACTTACAGTTTCTCTCCTAGTACAATTTGCATTTTAATTTGTTTCTATGGAAACGAGGGACTAACAGCAACAGCCTAATTTGGCAGGTGTTACATAGGCTCCTCCATAGTTCCCACCCCTGAGTCTCAACTTTGAGTACTGCAGTAGGCCTAGTTTCATACCAGGCCTCATTCACCTCTGTATTATTCTAGTTTTGTGTTACTGGAACTCAACTAAAATGGATGGGGTCTCAACAGGTGAGACTGGCGAAATTCCTGGAGCAATTCAGTGATCACTCAGGGTGCCTATACACAAGCATGGAGGTTGCTCTGGCACGCTATAATTACAGCACAGAGGCTGCTCCAATGCAATTAGTAGAGTCTGCTGGGTTCAGCCAGCCTCTGCATCTCATGTATCAGTGTCCCCACTATTCAAAATGGTGGCAGGGGCACTTTATCTAAAGCTGGTTCAATGAGCTGTAGATAAAGTGCCCCCGCCACCATTTTGAAGAGCGGGGATGCTGATACAGGAGATGCTCCGGGCACTTTAATTAGAGTGGTTCTCAGAGCCGCTCTAATTAAGGCCCCCCCCACTCCAAGCATGTGTATAGACACCCTCTGGCACCAACCTGAAATACTGTACTTCATAATTTGTCAACAACTAAAAGCTTAAATGGAAATACCATGTTGTTTTCTCACATACAGCACACACAATTTTAAAAAATAGTTGCTGGAAATTGGAGTGTGCATTATATTCCAGGAAATACAGTAAAAACCATTACCTCCTTCCTCCATCTCATACTGGCCAAAAGTGAAGTCTGCATGTGATTCCCAGGGAGCAGAACAATGAGCAAGCTTGGCTTTCTAGCTGCCATGACTCCATTACTTAATACAGGGAAAGACAGTTTTTTCCTTCATTCATTTTTTCAAAAACAAGGGCACATTTGCATGCAAGAAATTGCAGTATTTAAATACAGACTATAAATCAATATTTTAAAAATGTATTTGCAGTATTTAAATACAGACTATAAATTATTCACCTAATTTATTTTAATTTTTGATACTTCTGCAGTGATATTTATTGGCCATGGTATAACAGAATTGTTGTAGTTCTGGGGAAAAAGGCTGCTGTATTTGAAACCCTGTTCTGATTGAAGGTAGAAATACTAGTAATCTCATGAGAGAGTCCGCTCAGGAGATATTGAGTAACAGCCTCTGCTTGTATTAGCTGGTAGAGATTTGCAGAATTCACTGGAACTTTGATTTTCACTAACAAAAAATAAAGTCCACCAACCCTAGTTTGTGGACTTCGAATAAACAGCTAGATTTCCATCAGCTTATTCAAATGTTATGCCCTGTGAACATTCGCCTCTCATCAATTCATAAACGATCTCTCTAAAATAAAAGATTTTACTTTTGCATTTTAGAGTAGTTTAATTTCTACTGTCTCATTTAGAAGAAAGAAGATTTCCACCACCTTCAGACTTCTTGGGAGACCTTGGCGAACAGAGAAACAGACCCATGCCCCTAGAACACAGGTGCGATGCTTTTCTTACTTTACCTTTCCTTGTGTATCGGCACGAAAGTGGTGGAGTGTCACATCTGACAGACCTTTCATGCAGGATAGGTTCATCGGTGCGTATTCAGCATGACAGTAGGGCCTTACTCTCCTTATTAGGACTTTCTAGACCTCTGAATGCTGGAAGTTGGAAGTGGCAGGGGTCTGATCAGTCTGGATAGGCCCTGCATAAATATACTTCCCTCTAGCATCTACTCTTTGCCAGTCCGAGACGGAGGGTAGTGTTCTGTCTTATGTTTTTAATTAGCTTTACGAAGTCCCAACTGAGATTGGTTCCGACATTTATGCCAGTTGCTTTACAAACACATTGTGAGAGACGGTCCCTGCCCTTGTAATCAAAATGGACTAGGAGAGACAAAGGATGGAAGAAGGGAAGAAGTATCCTCCCTGTTTTATGGTCATGGAACCAAAGCACAGAAAAACTGAAGGACTTGCTTCAGGTCAGAAAAGTCTGGGGCAGAGCTAGGAAAAGAAACCTTGTCTCATGGGTCTCCTCCAGTGCCTTAGCTACAGACCAGTTTTCTTATCCAGGATTCCTGGACTTACTCAGAGGCTGAATTGAACAACACATATATGATGCAGTCCCTTGACATTTTTCTTGTGAGACTTAAATGGGACAGCGGACTTGGGGTACCCTTCTGAATCATGTGTTCATCCTACAGTCCTGGGTACTAAATATATACCCTTCAGTTTTTGAACCCGAAAGCTTGCTTAATAACTTTTCTCCAACTATTTGGGTTGGTCTAATAAAAGATATCAAATTCACCCAAGGAATCTTGTCTGCCTGTACCCTTCAGCTGATTTCCGCCCCCCCCCTTTTTTTTCAAGAAGTCTTTTTACCCCCCCAATATTTTTTTTTAAACTGCAACATAAAAAATGAAGCAGCATTTTAACAAATCAAATATCATGCAGGGAGAGATTCTTACTAGCTATTCTCATCCAAAAAAAACCTTAGTGTGTCCAGTGAAATTAAGTTATGCAGTCTTTATGTAAGGGAAAAACTGTCTCCAGAGCATTATGAACTGCCTGCATGTCTTTTAAACATAGTTTTAAAATGATAGAAAAGGTATTAAGCAAACAGAAGAGTGTTGATATGATGGTTGCCTTCTAATGAGAGTTTAGCAAAGCACACATTTGATCTAAACAAAAAGGCACCTAGAGACCGAGGAATATTATCTAAGAGCAGATGTGTTTTATATTTCCTTTGGATATGTTGAAACCAGGGATAATTTATTAGTCCCCAGCCTGTAATCACAGTGTCATGGATGTTCCAGACATTGTTGTTACTGATTGCAAGCCCTGCAGGGGTAATTTATCATGTCAAAAATTATCTGGATGCCCTAAAAAGCAGTCATTTGTGCTCTCTGATACCTGCCCTGTGGCATCCAAATATTTGTATGATTTGTGATTACTGGCTTTTTCTTTTCATTGAGGAAAACTTAGACAGCCTAATTGAAACTGTCACCATATCCGACGGTGAAAATTCTTAAAAAAATATCGTCAGGGACCATAATGGAGCATTTGCAGAACTTACTTGCCATGGGGGATTTAGTCAGCAGGGATGGTTCATGGATGAATTGCTTAAATGTTCTTCAAAAAAGTAAAGTTGAACAACATCCCCTCTATTGGAATCTGCTGTACAACATTGTAATACATCTTTCCAAGACCATCTTTACATCACAGAGATGAATGATGGGATAAAGCCATATATTACAGAGGGGGCATTTAGAACCCAAGCCTGCACCACTAAGTCAATGTGAATTATAAGACTGTCTTCAAAGGGAGCAGACTCAGTGTTTCAAGGGTCAGTTGTTATCTGTACAATGATTTTATTCATATTCTATTTCAGGTCCATGGGTAAGAGTGCACTGTTACATTTCTAGGAGGCCGCTTTGTGAGCAGAACGTTAAAAGTGACGCGCTGTGCTCTCTTCACGGGCAATTTAGTCTTCTAATACTTGATTTCTTTGGAATCTCAGTTCTGCTTTATCTCAAACAATAATATTTGAGGTTAGGATTCATGCACAAAGTTTTGCTTTAAAACCAGTCTCTACAAAAGTGATCAAAATAGGATATTTTATTTTTTTCACAATGACAGTAATCATGTAATTTATAAAAAAAGGCCTTATTTTTTGTAATTAAAAAGATGCGGCTGCTAGCAGTGATTCATGTCAAAGATCTGGGTACTCTCACATGGGCCTATTCCTCTCGTGCTTATTCTCTTGCGGTGAGTTAAAGGTGCTAAACTGTGCTGGCTACTTCTTTAAAAAGGTTAAACAGTGAGCAATTTAATAATTGTTTTAATGTTAATCCTCAGGATTCCCACAATGACAGAAGACGTGGCTAGAAATGCCCTCGTTAGCTTTGTTAATTCCAAGTGTTGCTATGGTAATAAAGCTGCAGGAGAACTGGTCATTCAGGATTTGAGGCAGCTGACTTTATACCGAGTGAGTATATCCATATCTGATACTTACTGGGACATTTCTGGTTCTGTCACTTGTATCAGTGACACTGGTCTGTGAAGAATTATCTATTCATTAAATGAAATGGATTTCATTCCTTTGAAAGGGAGGGGGGAAAAAACCCACTGTACGGATAATTGCAGGTTTTACAAGCAAACATGTTCATCTTTCTCTCCAGTATAGAATATGTACAATGTCTAAAGATGGCAAAATATCTGAAAAGTTTTCTCTTCTTTTTAAGACTGTGGTTTTGGTCTCGCACATGACCTCCATAGAAAATGACTGTTTTTTCCTAAGCAAAGCTATAGGTACTTGTTGAGTGTACATGAATGTGTTTCAGAGTACAGGGCCTCCTGTGATTTATGGATGATGGCCCATTTCACTTTTTAAGACCTGTTCAGTGGGATTTGTTCAATAGAACAAAAAACTCGAGCTGTGAGTGCTAATATATCAAGTACCACTGACTTGTGTATCTTCTTTTAAGAGTCTCCAACATCCAAAATGCCACGGTAGCTAAAATGCTTTTGTTCTTAATAGTACTCACTGAAAATAATGCATATTAAACATTTAGCCCTTTTTCTTTTCACTTTGCAAATGACTTAGGAAATACCCTAATTTTTTTTTTTGTGAAAGCCCCTATCACTTCTATTCACTAAATACTCAAAGCACATCCAGAAATAAATCTCTCAATCACAAGAGGGTAAGGATAGGGAATGACAATGTGGAAAAAGGAGAAAAACATAAATATTTAGGAACAACAGTCACTGAAGAGCATCAAATAACTGAAGAAATCAAGGCAAGGATTTACAGTACTAATATATATAAACCTTAAAATCTAGCTTTATAGTACAATTGTTCAACCTGCCCTTTTATACAGGGGTGAATCCTGGATGCTGACAAAGGAAAATGGAAATAGTTGGTGCAGTACAAGAAAACAGAATGCAAAGAGACAAATTAATCAAGAGCTGTTTGGACCTTTACGAAAGGCCTCATGTCTTGAGCAAAATAAAAGCTCAGAGACTGAAATGAATAGGGAACTGATGGTAGAAGGCAAGCGAGGCAGAATTTGGAAGCTGAGGTTAAGGGTATCAGCCCTCGAGGCAGGCCAAGGCAATGATGGAAAGATAACAAAAACTGATCTGGAAGGGATTGGCAAGGATGCAACATGGCGGAAGGATATTGCGCAAGATAGGAGAAGATGAAAGGCTGTAGTTAAGTTGTAGCCCCCCCGCAAATCCTGTGTGGCTAGAGACAGAGGAATACTCGAGATGAAAAATTTCTATCTTGTAGTTCTTGTATTGCATAGCTGTTCATCTAAGACGTGCTGTATTGTACCTACGCCTTGATTAGTTTTCTGGAAAGAATCCTAATAGATCAGTCATAAATTCTGAATATACCTTTTCTAAGTTCTTTTAGATCTATATCAATTTACATTAACGTTTGTTCAACTTTTGAGGTCCGCCAACATTTTCACAAAAGCCTCATGGCTAACTGGAATATTCTGAATAAAAGCCACCCC